AAAAAAAAAAAAAAAGATTTCAAATGATTTTCTTTAATCGTGGACAAAGTAATTAGCGTGGTGTTTTTGCCTAGCGGCCCGACCCTACCCTACAGCTACCGCGTCTCCATGTCTCGCGAAGGAACTGTGGCTCGAGCGCGGCCACCACCGAAGCAACGGCGACCGCCTCGCCCGCCACCCCCCCTGGAATGTGTGCGCGCAGGGGTGAGGCTCAGACCATCGACTCCGTCTCCACCTTCCTCGGCTGGCCCTCCTTCCTGGTCAGCCTCAGGACGGTGGGCTTCTCGCCGCCGCCCCCGCTCTCCCCCGAAGGCTGGGAAGACAGGCCTTTCTGCTCCTCCTTGACCTCTACCGACACGTCTGGGTAGATCACCAGGAACGTGGCCGTCAGGAAGCCCAAGAAAGAGCCCACGGAGGCCACCATGGGGATGACGCGCACGGTCCCGACGGCGTCGACCACACCCCCGAGGGCGGACGCCACCAGGATCTGGGAGATGTACACCTGGCAGGAGAGGATGGCACAGTCTATGCCAAAGCCACGCTTGGAGCTCCCAGGGCTGTGGTGGACGTACTGCAAGAGAAGAGAGCAGGACAGTGAGGGCCGTGGGGCGGTCGAACCATCAGCCAACATGCCCGTGGCTTGAATATTAGCTCAGAAGAGTCTGGAAACGCAACTTGCCTTCCTCTCAGCTGCTTGGCGACCACTCAGCCTGTCTCCCCGACCCCGTCCCACTTCTATTCAACACTGTATTGGAGGTTCTGGCCATTGCAATAAGGCAAGGAAAATAAATAAAACGTATTAAGGATTGGAAAAGAAAAAATGAATCTCGTTATACGCGGATGATGTGATTGGAAATGAAGTCCAAGAGAATCTATCGGTATGCTGTAAGAATTAACAGAAAAACATACCCTATCTATGGACAGAAAGGCTCATCACTGGAATGTTTTTGAATCCCCCCAAAATTGATCTATGTGATCAGTGTGTTTCCAATTAAGCCCAGAAGCTGATTCTAAACATTTAGATGAAAAGTCGGGTCAAGAACGCCCAAGACGATCTTAAGGAAGAACAAAACTGGAGGACGCACACACTACCAGCTCCTGGGTCTTACCACAAAACGACTTAGAACAGGGTAACCCTCGTCTGAGGACAGACCGACCGACGGAAGAGATACAGGGAGCAGAAACACCACCCCCCCCCACCCTCGATGGGGACCCGACATAGGACAAGGACGCCACCAGAATGCGGGTGGGGACCACGTGACCCTTAACGTTAAGCGGCTACCCGTCCGCGGGAGAACGAGGTCACACTCTTCTGCCTCAAACCACACACACGCACCCTGCATCCCAGGCGGACCGCAAGCGCGCACGGGACGAGGGCGCCGCCAATGCCACTGCCAGCGGAACAGGGCGATACCCGCGGCCATTCGGTGCCAGGGGCAAAGGAGTAAAGAACCGCCCTCTGCAAGCACAGGAGGGAAGCACGGGTGTGAAGTAACAGCAGACGTTCCAGGCACAAAAGCTTCGGACACTGGCCAGGGGGCCGCGTGGTGCTACAGCCGCTGGGCCGAGGGCCAGCGTCACACGGCTGCCTGGTCTGCGCCGTTTTTTCAGATTTGTTGCCCAAAACTCCACTGAGCTGTTCATTTACAACCTGTGCTCTTTTTCTGTAGTCACGTGACATACTCTGACCCAAAAGCTTATTTAACAAATAACGCTGTGATTTCGATTTTCGTTAGTCTGGTATTTGGCAGGTACCTAATCACGGTGGATTAATTTTGCTTTTATAATTGCCCAAGGGAAGATTAAACACAGTCTAGGTGTAGAGGGCAAGAAACAGGAGCTTTTTGGGGCTGCTTCCTTCACTTTCAGGGTCATGGTCTACACCTGCACTGAGGCCACTGAGCACTGTGAAAGACGGCTGGTCTGAAATGAGAGGTACTGTATGCACGTGGGAATAACGGTTTTGGAGGTGCTGAGATACAAGACTATGCTGCTGAAGGGACTTCACCTCTTTCCTCCCTGTTTACACACAGCCACTCCAATGCGGACCGACCCAGGCGGCTCACGCTCTACTGGACGGGACATGCTGGCCCAGCTCCCCTCCGCAGGGGTCTGTGAGGGGATATTAGGGGGCAGGCAGCCTCCTAGGTGCCCGACCCAAATCCCTCAAGAGGCAACCGACGCCTCCAGGCAGGTGCCAGGTGGGCCAGGCCACTGCAAGAGCAGATCCTTTGTAGCCAGGAAGCCTGTGCCCCGGACCGACCCGAGCAGGTGGCAGCTTCGCCGGTCCCTTCAGGACCAAAGACCGGGGCGGGGGATCGTCCGTACCCCAAATGCCTCCCAAGTGCAAGGTGCGGAGATCTGCCTACAGACGAGTGGAGAACGAACGTGGGCTTTGGAGCCGAACGGGTCTGACGCTCTGACCTGGTGTACCTTTCAGGCGGGTGACCTTGCGCCCCAGTGCCTCATCCATGGCACCCCTCCCACCCGCTGCCCCCAGGACGCACCTCCTTGATGTCGTGGTACTGCCCGAGCAGGGCGTAGGGGCAGTAGGAGATGCTCATGGAGACGATGCCCATGGTGCTGATCATGATCATGGCGACGTAGACGTCGGCGAACATGGCCATCACGGCCGTGCCGATGGAGAAACCCAGCGTCCCCAGCACGTAGATGACCCTGATGCTCAGGTCGTAGTTGTCCAAGTACTTCTGTAACAGGGCTGTGGAGACAGCGTGGCCACGGGACAGTGACCGACAAGGCCCTCAGCCGGACACTCGCCTCACTCCTGCCGGGCTCCCTCCACTGTCCCCGGCCACCTCTGCCACCCCGAGGCCCTCCTCCCACCACACCGCTGCCCGCCGGCCCCCACCACGCTCGCAGCTCGCCCCTGTGCCTCCCTCAACTCCCGGGGGCTCCAGCATCTCAGAAGGAAGTCCGCCCTCCGGGTCCCAGAGCCCGTAGCCTCTTTCTGCCCTGCAGGCCGGCTTGGGCCCAGACCCTTCCCACCAGTCCAGACCCACTCGCTGGCCTTCGCCAGCCTCATGCCCAGTCTTGATTTGGAATCTCAAGTTGTGGCTCGTTTCCTCACAGGAGAAGCCTGGGTCCAGATGGACGGACTCCTGCTCATTCTTCCCGACCCAACGGCTTAATGTCACCTCCCCCACGAAGTGTCTCCGGTGCCTTCCTGGGAACTCCTCTGACGGAGCACGGATGATGCTGCCTGTTGGTCAGGCTGGCTTCCCGCTGCCTTGTGGCCTTGACCTTGGAAACCCTCAAGTCCAGGCCGGGCTGACAGGAAGCTGGAGGCCTCCTCCACGGTTTGGAGTAGAGAGTGGGCAGGACCCAGACCAGACCTGGTTAGGAGACCCCCGACCCCGACTGCGCCCACGTCCAGAACGTGTGCCAGGGCGTGCTGCTCCCAGGAGTGAAGCCTGTCCCCTCCCTCCTCACAGACAAAACCACACCTCCAGGGAAAGGCCTCTGCTCTGCGACAGGCTGCTCCCACAGCCCCAGGCCCCAAACACGCCTCACGCCTCCACCCCCGGGCTCACAGGGACAGCTCCTGCAGGCCCACCATCGCCCCGAGCCTGGCCCTGTCCAGAGCCCCCCCTGTCTGAGGAACCCCTGGACAGGAACTAGCAGGCGGAGGGCAGCCCGTGTGGGGTCTCGGGACGCCCCATCCTAGACTCTCAGGTGCAGGACGCTGTTGCCCCCACGTGGGGACCGCTTACCTGAGCAGATCGCGCCGGTGGCCGCGTAAATCACCAGGCCCCAGCACCCCAACTTCACGCCGGCGTTGTAGGCCTGCCAGGCGGTCGAGTTGGAGGGGGCCTGTTCCAGAAATGAAACCGGGGATCAGGGCGGCCAGGAATCATGCGCCACACTCTTTGGGGAAAGGAAGTCACTTTCCCTCTCAACTTGCAGGCGAGCCGTTTACTTTGAAACCAGCGACAGACACTACCATGATGGGACGCTCCGCCACAGTACGGCCGCTCCGCTCGCAGCGGTGTCTGCAACCCCTCCCAGCCTCACACCTGCCCCGCAGGGCAGCTGGAGGGTGAGGGACCGCGTGGAGGCGGGGCCGTCTGGCCCAATTCCAGGCAACACAGCACAGGCGTGAGCCAGGCCACAGGGGACAGAGGCGGGTCCCTGTCCCCAGCCACCACCATCTGGGGCAGGGTCTGTGCACGGCAATCGGGCCCGGGAGCGGCTCCTCCCCCGTGACGCCCTTCTGGACCCCTAACCACGGCACCAGGAGCACGCGCCGGCCGATGCCCACCGTGGGCCTGCCCCCCGGCCGCAAGGGCGCCGGGGCACCAAGGGGGAGCGGGCAGCGGACGCAGCCTCCCCGACGCGGTGTGCCGGGCCGTCGGCACTGCCGGCTGCCCCCGCGTTGCCGTCCCTCCCAGCCCCAAAGCGGGGCCCCGGGCACTCACCTTGGGGTCCCCTTCGAAGATGACCTGGCCCATGAAGTCGGTGTAGAAGACGGCCTCGGCGATGACGGAGAACCAGGTGAGCAGGTGGCAGAGGCACAGCCGCGTCAGCTCCTTGGGCATCTTGAGCATGGACAGCCAGAGCAGCCGCACGGTGGTCTCGCCCTCCCCCTCCTCGCTCTCCGTGTCCCCGCTGGAGGTGGTGGCCCCGCTCTGGTTCCGGTGCCGGCACCGCTGCCGCTGCTGCTTCTGCAGGTCGTACAGGTCGCTCATGCTGCGCGAGGGCTTGATGAGGACCACGGCGTTGGCCCGTCGGTAGCGGTAGCAGTTGGACCCGATCTTGCCGTAGTAGGAGAAGGTGCTGGAGGCCTGCCGGTGGAACATGTGCCTCCGCCGCCTCATGGAGCCGGACGCGGCCGTGGGTTTCGGGGCCACCCTGGTGTAGCCCCCGAGGCTGTCCTTCAGGGGAGAGCCACTCCCGTTGGGGACTTTGGCTTCGTTCAAGTGATTATCGAGCAGCGTCGCGTCCTCCTTTGCGGTTTCCCTGAGCACGGAGGCCAGGCGGTACGGCCTGGTCCAGGGAAGCTCCTGGCTGCTGCTGCGGGGGGTGCTGGGGTAGGAGCCGTCGTGGAAGATGGAGGGCTCGATGTCGGGCAGGAAGGGCAGCTCGGGTTCCAGGTCCAGGGCAGCGTCCGGCACGTGCAACACAGAGTCGCTCTTGCTCCGCACCATGTCCACACCCAGGAAGTCCAGGGAGAGCTCGTGCTCGGACTGCACCTCCTCCGGGAACAAGGCGACGCCTCCATCCAGAACATTCACGCGGGCGGCGGGGGGCAGGGTGCCGGCCGCCTCCCCACCCCGCTCTTGCGGGGGGCTGTACTGCTCTTCCTCGATGCTGAACAGGTGCAGGGCCACCGACACCACAAAGATGATGGCCGCGAAGAAGAAAAGCACCTGGTTCTGCGTCCGGAACCAGTCGCCCAAGAAGGTCTGGGTCCAGTCCAGCCCCCCCAGCACATAGCCGATGGCCCCGCCGAGGCCTGAGCAGGCGAGAGAGACAGAGGAAGCCCGTGAGCGGTGTAAGGTGCCTTGGCACCGCCTCCCGAAAGAAGAGGAGAGGCTAGGAAAGATCTAGAAGGTCTTTCACCCTTAATCACAGGCCAAGGGCGCCACTCATAGCTATGTTCTGGGTCAGCACAAGTTTGGGGGCTGGAAAGTGAGAAAATGGGAGGAAAAACAAGACAAGAAACTACAGCTGACCTTAAGTCTGGCGTTTTGACCTAAGAGACTCCTGCCTAAGGAACCAGAAGCAGGTATCCACCAGGATAGGAAGCCGATGGTTGCCCACAACTCCGGGCAGCACTGACTGACACCCCTTAAGCTCAGGAAGCCGCCGTTCCCAACGGATATGAACGGTACCCAAACGCAGGGAGAGACTAGCACCGGCCTGCCCGCCACCTCGCCCACCAGCGGCTAGGTAAAGCCATGGCAGGCCATCGAGTCCCCCCCCCCCCCCCGATATGCGGAGGAGGGCCTTGGGAACAGCCTCCCCTAGCCAACCCCCACTGGGTGAGGTCTGGGAGGGTGAGGGCCAGGGCTAGGGGTGGGGGGCGCTCTCACCGGCAGAGAAGGCGTGGATGTTGAGGGCCATGTCCTGCTCCTCACTGTCCACCACATCCAGCAGGTAGGCACGGATGGGGCCCTCGGTCGCATCGGCGCTGAAATCCAGGATGACCACCCCCAGCACGGTGAGGACGATGCCAATGGGCTGCCGGCTGGGGACATCGCCGAGGGACAGACCTGACCGAACACATGGGAGCAGGCAGATCTCAGCCCCTCGGAGCAGACAGTCGCCTCCAAGAGGAGACAGAGGACACTGTCGCCTGGCCAGAAACAGGTGTGCTCCTTGGCACGGACTTTCGGGACAGAAGATGGGCTTTGTTTTGTCCATTTCTGTTATCTGCTGGGTTATTTTTTCTTCCCCCATCACACGGGCTGTCCGGCGAACCTGAGAGAGCTGACTTACGTTTACGTTTTGTGGCTAAGAGGAAAACGGTCCTTCTACCCACCTTCCCTGGCGAAGGAGGGCCACGTCTGAGAGCCCTGACGGAGCGTCCGTGTGACACAGTCACACACACACGTGCGCACACCGCGGGGGCGCTCCTTCCGCGCATCCTGAGCGCGTGAGCGGCCTCCCCCGGCGTCCACACGCGTCTCCTCAAGCACGCACTGTGGTTTCACACCTCCCGAAGGAGGATGGCTTGAGCCTGTCGCGGTTACTTTCCAATTTGCTTTAAGGAAAATTAAGCCTTGAAGGCCAACGCGGATCTTGTTTCGTAAGTCAGACTGCACCCAAGAAACCCGAGCAGAAACACGGGCTAACGGTCCTGCGTGCCGGTGACGGAACTCGTGAAGCACTCATCACCTCCCCCGGGAGCTTCAAGCGCATTCTCGGGCGGCCTGGGTGCGGCTCTGAGGAGCAACGCACGTGACCTCACTTCTGGCACAATCTTTCCCTAAGTAGGCTGGAAGCGGCCAAAGGAAGCTACATTCACACACTGCGTCGCGCCTGCCTCGGGGGAGTCTGCCCTGAACCCCAAGACTGGCTGGCACCCTGTACCCGAGGATGTAGAGGTTGGCGGGGGGGGGGGGGGGGGGAGAGGCACACGACCTGGGACCTGGGAACATATTAGCCGCAGCCACAAGCAAGCCCACTGCACAGGAGGCCCAGGGAGGATGCCCGGGAGAGTGTGAGCACGGCAAGTGACGGGGCGCCAGGTGAGGGGCCGGACTCCCGAGTCTCTGCACCGCCACGTTCCCGCAAGAACGCCCCACAGACACGGCCTCGAAGACACGACTTTCTCTCTGGGTGAAAGTGGCGAAGGGACACGCGATCTGCAGGCTGAAGGGGACAGCCCGAGAGAGCCCGCAGCCCCGGGTCCACAGCTGACGGCAAAGCAGCACCCCCGGCCTTGGGGCCATAAGACGTCGCGGCTGGAGGAGGCCGCCCCGCACGAGGTGGCTGGGTGCAGCTCGGGGAAGCGTGTGCTGCCCGGTGCGGTGGTCCTTCCTCGGCCCCAGCCTGTCCCCACACAGGCCTCTGAGAAACTGGGTGTGGCTCTCGCTACCCCAAAAGGTGTTCTGGGTGTTCCCACATCACTGACTTCCTTCTGCAGACCTAGGCCAAACTCGCGTACGTCAGACCCAGATGAAGCCTCCGTCTTCAAAAGTCATTGCCAGAAAACAAGGTTTTTGTTTTTAACAGTTTTGACGGACTCCCTCAGGGCAACAACTATTTTCCCACATACAGCTGCTTTAATTAAAAACAAAACAACAACAAAAAAGGCAGAACAAAACACGAGTACCCGAAGCAGAAAAACAAGCGGCGAACTGGGTCTGGACATTTTCAATACCAAGTCTGAGAAAAGGAGAAAACAAAGAGAGAATTTCTGAAATGATGCTGGAAACAGGACGTGGTGTCAGATAGGCATTAAAAGCTGGGTCACAACAGGAAATGCTTCCCTGTGAACAGGTTCCCACGGCTTTGCTGCGTGGGGCCCGGCTCCTCGAGCGGGGGCCAAGTGTGCCCGGGGGCGGGGGCGGGGCCCGGCCAGCCCCGGAAGCGCCGGGCCAGCCCGCAGACGGCCGGTCTCGGCGCCACGGTGCCACGCGTGTTCTGTGGAGCAGAAAGCCACGCGCAGCCAGGACGCGAGTGCACACAGTAGGGCGCGTGGCGTGGCGGAGGGGCACTTACCGATGGCAGAGCCGTTCAGGAAGAGCGCCACGCCCAAGAGCACGCCGATGCACAGGACCAGGATGAAAGGCCGCCGGCGGCCCCAGCTCAGGGTGCAGCGGTCGCTGGCGGAGCCGATGATGGGCGTGAAGAAGAGGCCGAGGACGGGGCTCAGGAACCAGGTGAGGCTGTAGTACTGCTCCGGAAGGCCTGCGGCAGACACGCGGCGGGCTGTGACAGGTGCACCCCGGGCACCGGGCGCACGCACACACGCAGGCCCCGGCCTGGTAGAGACCCCTCAGGGTAGAAGTGCCCACCTCCGAAGCGGGCAGCTCTGAAGACTGAATCCCAATGGGGAAGCACCAGGTGGCCAGAGGCCGGCACCCGGGCCTTGGAGCAGACGCCCCGGGACCCGCCGCTGCAGAGTGTAACAAGCAGAGCTGGGACCGGCCGTGCACACGTGGAGAACAGGCACCCCCGGGCGCCAGCGCGGGGCCAGGCCCTCTCACGCCACCCGCGCTACTCAGCGCCATCTCACAGGCACCGCACACAGTGTCCCCGTCAGCCCGGAACCGAGGCACACGGGGAACACGGCCCCAGAGTAGCGAGGACCCACCCTGCTGTCCCTCCGGGCCGCGCGGGCCGAAAACGATCCCCAGAGTCGCCCTGAGGGGCCACACAGCCACTAGCGTGCTACACGACCCCAGCGGTGGGCTTCTGCGCGGCCACCGAGCAGCCAACGAGAGGGGGAGCATCGGTACGTGTTTAGCTGGAGCGAAGGTGCTCTTTCTGGCCCCCGGTACTCCCTCTCATCCAATCCTCCTCACTGCCCGGGGAGGCAGGGACTCTCGTGCCCATTTTCCAGGAGGGGAGGACAAAGTAGGAGGCCCCCGCCTCCGCTATCGCTATCGCACAGACCCAACGCCACTGCCACTGGAAAGGCACGCTCGTGCGGCAGAGCCTGCATAGCAGCTGGGTTGCGCAATGCAGCGGTGCACGAGCCGGGCCCCGCACACGCCAGCCGCAGGAGCACACACAGGAGTGGGCTCCATTTACACGGAGTCTCTACTGGCAGAAGCCAGGGTGGCGGTCGCCCCTGGGAAGGGCAGGGGCTTCGGGGTCGGCCTGTTCTGTTCTTGATCTGGATGGGGCTCGCTGGTGACAGGTCACCCCGCTGGAGACTTCCGTCACGCACCTCTCTGTGTCCTACTTCAATGAAAAGTTTACTTAGAAAATGAAAGGTGCTTGGGCACGCCAGCAACCCCTTGGCTAGTGCCCCGAACCACCGCGGGCGCCGGGAAACGGGGTACCGGGGCGCATTAGAGCCAAACTTGTGTGGCAGGGCGAAGCACCGCCCGCATCGTCACCCACGTGCCCGCACGCAGTCCACGATGCGAGGTGTCTGCTTTGACCTCTACGCCGCAGAGAACGTTAGGAAGGGTGGTGAATCGTGCTCGTGTTCCAAGTGAGCAGAGACAGCGTGCTGCTGCTCCAGGGAACGAGAAGCTACGAGCGCTACGGTCTCTCGGCAGGCCTGGGGCCTCGCCCCTCCGCACCACAGGCGGGCAGAGGGGACATGACAGCCGCCCAGGCCGGCCCCCAGTGCCCACGTGCAGGAGCACGTTGTCCAGCAATGCGATCGCCGGAAAGGACTGCCGACCAAACCGCTCCGCGTGGACGACACAGCCAGCGTTTCACAAAGAGCGGAAAGCATTCTCACCCCAGGGTTCACGGACTCCGAAGGTGGCTTTTAAAACGGCACAACTTGGGGCGCCTGGGTGGCGTAGTCGGTTAAGCGTCCGACTT